TTCAGGAGTGGGCCTTGTCTCGCAGCATGCCAGGTCCTTCTCTGAAGTTGTATTGGATCCGATTGTTTGCGTGCCCCCTCCAGAGAGATTTATCCTGAAGCCATGGCATGGGGTCGTGGATTCAGGTATCCCTTGGGCCAATGTCTATTTGCATACGGGGGGAGGCGCCGAGGATCGCAATGCCCAGCTACTGATGCAGGTGGCAGCAGTCACGAAGACCATATCCACCCCCTTTGTTATATCAGGGGACTGGAACATGTCCCCCAAGGACTTGCAGAATACGGACTTCTTAACGCTCATAGGTGGGGTCATTGTTGCGCCAGATCGCCATACCTATGAGTCCGCGGGCGCCCAGTCGTTGATTGACTACTTTGTGGTCCACCCCCTGCTCTCGGCAGCAGTTAAGTGTGAGGTCCGGGAGACCCCCCTGATCCCCAAGCACCAGCCTGTCGCTCTCACGCTTCGTGGAAATCTCCACTCTGATTTGGTATCGGTTTTTCGGCGCCCGCCGCACATCCTTGTTATTCGGCCAGTGGGGTGTTCAAATTGCCCGCCTTCCTGGGATGCCTTTCCTGACGCAGTCAACTCTGTGGAAGATCTGGAGCGTCTTACTTCTTCTTGGCTGAAGACGTCTGCCCAGGAGTTGCTTGCCCTTTTCCAGTTGCCAGATCCGCAGGATTACACCAAGCGGGGTGAGCCCCCCTCGACCATCCAGATTTCGGTTTCCAGATTGTTTCCTGAGGTGTGCTTTCGTCATACGAAGGAAGGCTTTGGAGGTATCTCTCTAACCGTCTTGGTACTCTTCTATATATTGCTGACAAGCAGCTGTGGCCCGCATATCGGAGAGCCTGTCAAGCCCTGCGCCGATATCGTCCTTCGCAGCGGGATGGTGGTCCTCCCCCCGATTGGTCGTGGTGGAGGTATTATTCCAACAGGCTTGATACCCTAGATCTTGGTTCCATAGATTGGCTGCGGGGCGTCTTGGCTGAGTCCGCATCTGCTCTGGAACGTGCAGCATCGGCACAGAGGTACCAATCCTGGACATCATGGGCCATGCGATCTGTCCAGGAAGGTGGTTCTGCTGCGCACCGATTCGTCACGGGATCTATGGATTGGGCTTCCTTTGACAAGACCACCCCGAACCCAGATGCCCCAGTCGGTACGCCGCAGCATCATCTTAAGGCGCGAGAAGGAGTTTGGCATGCTATCTGGGAGCCCATGCAGGAGCACCCTGACGATCCTTGCCTAGCCCTGGATTTCCCGCCGTTGCCGCCCGACTGCCTTGCACCCTTGCCTCACCCGTCCCTGGACAAGTACAGGCAGATGTGTCGCAGGTACAAAGCTCGTACGTCGGTGGGACTGGACTCGATGCATCCACGTCACCATGCGCTGCTCTCCGACTCGTCACTTCTTGCCCTGTTTGGTATCTGGCGCGTTGTCTTGCGATTGGGTAGATTCCTTCCCATTTTCGCTGTTTTCATCATGAATTTGATCCCGAAGGCTGATGGTGGCGAGCGTACGGTTGCCCTCTTCACGACGTGTGTGCGCACGTTCTCTCGGTTCTTCAGGCACACGTATGGCGCTATGTGGGCGCGATTGCACCCTCGTCCGTACGTGCACGGTGTGCGCGGTCATTCCTGCCAAGCATGTGCGTGGCGCATGGGCGTGCTCACGGAGTTAGCATCTGCCAGAGGTTTGTCTGTGCTTGCACTCTTGCTCGACATCCAGAAGGCTTTTGAACAGGTTCGCCATAAACTTCTCATAAGAAGTGCTAGTGAGTTTGGGATTCATCCAGCACTCTTGAGGGTTTTCCTGCCTCTCTATCGTTCCCCACGCGTTGTCACGTTGCGGCGAATTGTTGGGGAGTGGGTCAGAGCTAGCAAGACTATTGTAGCAGGTTGCTCTTTTGCCGATCTGTTCATGCGTATTTTATTGATGCCCGAGCTGGATTCGTTTCGTCAGTCGCATCCAAATATGCACCTTGCCCTCGTCGCCGACGACGCCCAGGTCCCGGGGATTGGCTCGGAGAGGGAGTTGCTCAAAATCGGTCCCGATGCGTCGCACCTTTTGATGGGCAAGCTTACTTTCTCGGCATGTTTACCGCTCTCCGAGAAGAAAATCGTGCTCTTGGCTACTGACCCCCAGTTCGCTCAGAGCATTGCAGCTGAAACTCCACGTCTCGCTGGTGCAGTCAAGTTCTCGTGTCGAAACCTCGGGATTGACTATCAGTTACGTCAGGGGCGTCGTTCTCGTCCTGTTCTTACTGGTCGATTAAAAAAGGCCAGGTTTAAGGCCCGACGCCTATTGAAGATAAAGAAGGCTGGTGCAAAGGTTGCAGGTATTGTAAACACTAACTTGCGGCCCACTGTCATGTACGGCATTGACGTCGTCGGTCTATCTACTCACCAGATTCGTCAGGTCCGTGCTATATACCACGCTGGTCTCGGCACAGGTAAACGTAGGTCTGTCACGATGGATTTGGCGTTGCATGGTGTTACCGATCCTGCTATCGATGCACATGCTGAGGTTATTCGTCTCTGGACTGTCTCTAGATGGGACTCTCTTCTCCCTGTCGGAATGATAGACCAAGTTTTCCAGTTTGCCTACGCCAAGGTGGCGCCAGATACCCCGTGGACTGAATTGCAGGGCGCAGGACAGATCTTGGTTGCCACTATGCGTAGAATTGGGTGGTCTGCGGTTTCGCCCACAGTATGACGAACTTCTCTTGGAACCGATGTTGATTTTTCGTCTACTTCCCCTCGCGAGGCGGTGGCACTAGTGATTCGCGACGCGTCTGTCTGGTCCTGGAAAGAGGCCTCTGAGCGTCACCCATCCTTCAGTCACCTGTCTGGACCCCGTTTTCCTCCCCCCTCTTCTTTCCCTTGTGTCTAGGAAGTCTGAAGGATGGGGTGTCATCCAGCAGCGTGCTTTGAGGAATTTTATATCTGGGGGCATATACTTTAAACTTATGTGCCCCATTTGCCAGGTCGCCCCTTCTGACCCCGTGTTTCACACCCTGTATGAGCGTGATGGGCTTGTGGAGGTTCGTCGTTGGTTCGGCCCGACTCCAGCCCTCACCCGTTGCATAGAGCAGTACCGCGAGAACCCTGTCTGGGCCACTGCCATGGTTCCCGACCCGCGCTATTGCTCCCTGCTTGCACCACCTTTCCCAGACCCTGCCTGGGAAGGAGCCACAGACGGCCCCTTCTTCTCGTCGCCTGCGTATGGAGACGGCTCGGGAAAGCATGGCCCCTCGCCGCTCACTCTCCGTTGTGGATGGGGTGTATGCTCATTTGCCCCGCGTCGTCGCAATGTTTTAGGTGAGCCCATCGCCAATGATCGGCTTCGGCTTAATGCTGGTGCATATGGCGTATACCCCTTTCTCACCCAGGATGTTTCAGGGGCTGAGCTTTATGCGTTTTTATGTTATCTAACCCATGCTGCCCCCTCTGACTGCTATGAGTTTGTCACTGATGCCCAGTACGTCGTGGACGGTTGGGCATTGGGGTACGAAGCTACCACGCACGGATGGGCCACTCACGCATCCTTGTGGGTCCGTGTCCACCGCGCGGCTTCAGATATCGGGTACCACCTAATTAAGGTCACCAAGGTTCGTGGCCATTCTACCTCGGCGGGTAATAAGCAAGCTGACAGACTTGCTAACCTAGGTGCTGACCTACACACTCTGGACACGGTCCTGCACGACCGTATCAAGCGCTCTGGTGTGCTGGTGCGCAATCTTGGTGTGTATATCGGGCATTGTATAGCATGGATGTTCAAGAATGTGCCCAAAAAGGTTTGGGCGGCGGATTCTGACGAGTCCCCTGCCCCCACGGCCCCATCCCTAGTCCTCTCCGGTGCCTCCTCTGGGGCCTTGCATGAGCACTTCTGGGACCCCTCAGCGGATCGTTTTCGATGCGTGAATTGTTGGGCTAGTTCAGCTTCCAAGGGCTATTTATTGCGTTCGCAGTGCTCTTCTCCCACTGGCGGTGGGCACGTGCTCAGGCGGCTAAATAATATCATAGTTTGTCGACGATGCGGCCGCTACTCGTGCAAGAAAGCAGTTGATTTAACTAAATCATGCACTGGGCCCCCTCGGGCCTCTGGCACCATCTCACGGCTTCGACGCATGTGCGATGGTCGTGACACCCGTACTGATCAACCAGTCGGTGAGGTCACTGCGGTTGACAATGTCAACGTTATATATGCCTTTCCTGCCCCTCAGGATGTCTTCAATTTTCAGGCATTGTTTGATCCTGCATGGCTTTTAGAGGCCCCGTAGATTTCTCGGGGTATACTTCGGAGGTGGGGTGGATGTAACGGTTCTGGCCCGTGTGCTGCCCACCGAGCCGCACGGGCGTTCCAAGGGATATCTGGTCTGTCTCGTCTGTCTGATGCTGGCAGGACTACTCGGATCCCCGACACCAGCCGTCAGAAGTGTTGTTCTGCAGTACTCCCTTTCCTGGTCGCTACAGAGGGCAGCTTCCAGGAAGTAGGGCAGGCTTGGGATAAGTGGGTACAGAGGCGCTGAGAAGCAGGCACCCGTTCCGCCTGCGCCCACTTATCCCGTCTGTGTGTTTGTCATTCCTCCCCCGGCCAGGCTCGCAAAGAGAGAAGACTCTTGCCTGCCCGCCGCGCGGGGATAGCTGTGCACGCCTCTCTGTATGCGCTTTCTCTCTACAGTCGGACAGTCGAAATGTCTCATGGCTACGCGCCAGGGACTAGTAGGCTGAGGGTGAGTGGGTACAGAGGCGC